GTCAAATACACGACTCTAGTACACGACCGTAGCCCCTCAGTGCACTAGAGTAAGATGACTGTATCGATTATTTTCTGATGCATCAACATAATCATTCTCATTTACCAACTTCTCGAAAATAAGACATTTCTTGTAAATAATATGTCCCTCTAAAAATTGGGAATCATTCAAACATTCATATTAAATAACATGATTATAAGCTTGTAATGTAGAAATCTTGTTTTTGGAAAAGTAAGTTCTCTACTCACTGATATAGGCTGGACTAACCGGCTGGTATGTTGTTCCCAAGTCCAAGTCCCCTCCTGAAATGATCACACACAAACCACTTCAATTCCATCAATATAAAGTTATAAAAGATTTCTCAATAATAACTCATACTTAGCATCGAACTGAAATATATAAATCCCTCAATAAGCAATAAGTTGAGACTTAATATTTCCATCTCATGTGGCTAATTAAAACATAAATTCGCTACTTTTTCGAATCACTCAACTTCTCAATTCGCTAATACTAATTTTTCCTGGCTTCCCCGATGAGATTCAACAAGATTTTCATGTCAATAAACATCAATATTCCTCGTTTCAAATTTCTATTAACTAAATACATATATCTCATCAAAAACCCCTTTTCTTAAAATCTCCATATTCATCCAAATTAAGAACTCAAGAGCAAAATAAATTATTTTCAACCAATCAACTTAATATCATGTAACAATCATGATGAAAATATCAAGAATGTCCATTGTCCCCAAATTTTCGGATTAGCCACATATATCAAAATCCTAATCTCCAATTACCATTTCTTTCAATCCACTAGAATAAATAACTTAAAATGCTCAAATAAACAACTTCCTTATCACATATTTTTCAAATATAAGCTATTCCACCACAATATACTTCGAATTTTCCTCAAAATAGGAGAAGAAATTGAGAACTCAAACCTTGATCTCGGTGGTATATTTCTTCTTTTTTCTTTCTTTCTTTTTCTTTCCTTCTTTTCCTTTCTTTTCCCTCCTTTTTCTTCTTCCTTTCTCGGTCCCTGTCTTCTTTGGTACATGAGTGTGTGTAAAATGGGATGGAATATGGGTTTAAGAGTGTGTTTGAGCCACATTATTTTGGAAGAATGTATTTTGGAATAGTAGAATGATGGAGAATGTGTAATTGAAAATGAGTAGAAGAATGAAAATGAAAATTTTAACGTGTACCAAACAGGGGCTAAGTGTTAAATTAGTGAATGTTTGCACAATAGGTCCCTCACCTTCCAAACCAAATAACATTTAAGTCTATTACTTCCAAACCTAATTAAGTAACTCCCTAACTAACTCTCATATATAATCAATTTCAAAATAAACCACAAGAAAATAATTTGCTTTATTTAAGTCCTATTTAACTATGACTTTGACAATTCCACCTTTGACTTNCTATTAGCGAGGACAAGGACACTGTCATAAAAAATTTCTTGTAGTGTTGGCCAAGAAATTAGAACAATTTTACGACATCGTTCATATCGAGTATTTCATGTAGTTAGCAACATATTGTTAAGAGGCAAACTCTTTGAGGAGCTAAATTGTGGCAAAGTCCAGGAAAAAAACATAAATAATTTCAAGAATGAGCACTCTTTCATACAGCAAATAAACTTTTTAACAAGAACAGTTTTATTAAGAAATTAACAAAAACTAGACCAATGTCAAATAGCAGTTCGATGGTGAATTTTTTAGTCTATATTATAGCAATTTTCTTTGAAGGTGGTTAAACTTTCTTCAAATGGAGGGATGAAAACGTCTATGCTACCATCCCCTATAAAAGAGGGCAGTAAGAACATCATGCCCTCCGTTGGATAGTAACTTGGCATAAAAATAAACGGGCGCCCTCCTCCAAAATCAAGTTCCATAAAATGGAAACCTTAACCAACTATCCACCTCCAAATCAGGGCACAATATAGTTTTTGTCATGTCTGCTGTTGTTATCAGATTTTCTTCCTTTACCTTAAAATTTGCGAAGTCGATAAATGATCTAAAATAGTTGTTGTTTACCTTTGTAATTGCATCATGAATGAGTTTTGCTGCATAGAATAAGGGTTCTTGAAGAAGGGTTTTCACTTTTGCACTCGGGAATGCCCAAAGAACCAAGTTCCCAAAGTAATCATTCGAGATTTTAGGGTTCAGCCTCTGTCGGCCATCAATCGAGATACGTATTTGGGAGGTTTCATGTTCATTGAGGCATCGGGACTTGGTTATGGCTCTCCGAAGATGTGCAACTAGGCTTTCGAATGTGCTGAATGGTTTATTGTTGTTTCCATTCATTGAAGAAGCCTTGTCCTTGATCTTTGCAAGAAACTCTACTGTGTAGTGAACTTTGTGGACTTCAATGTTGTCCACACTGTTGTACTTAAGATTATGGGTTTTCAAGCTTATATATTCGACTCCTTTGTGCTCAAACTCAAAGATAGGAGGGTTTCTAGGAGTGAATATGGTACGATCATGCAAAGGGAGCGGACTAATTTCGAGTCCTCGACAAGCTTGGCCCCATGCAACCAAGAAGTTGCCAGTGGAATGCCCGTCAGCAACAAGGTGGTGACTGGTGAAGCCCACCACCAATGAGCCACATGTGAACCTTGTGAGCTGAACTTGGAGCAACTCGACTACTTCTTCAGATAATGAGTCTTTCTCTCCCAAGATATCTTCAGGGGCTCCAGGGAAAACCCTAGGGTGAAGGCTTAGCAAATTTGCTGAAGGTTTAAGGAGCAATGCTTGATCAAGAGGGCCATCGACATATGCCTCAATGAATCTAACACCCTCATCATTGAGAAGTATGATGCACCATCTCATAGTGGGACCCATGTGTTGGAAAAAAAGAGTCAAAAAATTAAATCTTGTGTTCAAATAATGGGAAACAAACGGGATGTTAATTATACTAAGCCCTTATTTGGTCCTCATTATTTCAAAATACATTTTTCCCGTTCATTTTCAACCACGCATTTTTTAATAAAATAATATTATACGGAAACCTAATTTTTTTTTTTAACCATACATTCTCCATCAAAAAATTATTCCAAAATGCACTTTGGGCAAAAGAATGGCCCAAACAAGCTCTATGAGTATCACCAAGAGATTCTCTATTTTTAAAAAAAACATATTTTCCAATTTAGAGAGCATCTATAATATTCAACGAGTAGAAATTTTTAAGTACTTCAACATGTTCTTTATATTTAACACTTAATTTTACTACTCCTAAAAAATATTTGTTATTTTTTCATATTTTTTATTTTCACTAGCTTCCCTCTAAATTATTATATTCTTTTTTTCATTGAAAACTAAAATATTTTGAATGCATTTAATTATAAAGAGCGACTCTCTATTTTAAAATGTTAATTTAAAGAGTTTCTTCAAATATAATTTCAAAGCTTGACTCTTTAAAATATGAGTAATGTTAGGTTACAACCCCAATTTAGGTGACATTAAATGATATGTGAAATTAAATAGTCATTTAATTTCACATTTCACTTAGCCTATGATTTAGAGGGTTACAACCTGGGATGAATAGCATTATTCTTAAAATATAGAGCATTTTATATTTAACTAAGTAGTAACGGAAACCCATTTATTGGCCAACTTTGGAGGGGTAATTAATGGCATTTATAAGGCAGTAATTATTTTTTTATGAGGCAATTTAATGTTTGAATTAAATTGGTTTGGAAACCTCGTAAAACAGATGATGGCATATTGATGGTCCAAAGATCAATATTTACATCATCTCTTATTTAATTTATTGTTCAATTATACGACTTTAATTAGGGGTTATTATGTCATTTTTTTTTTTTTAAATTTAGAAAGGAAACAAACTAGATAAATTATGAGCCAATCATCCGTGGATGAGCAACTCCGACAATATCTCCAAAGAGAAGAAGACTTGCGCTTGATGGGGGATCATCGTACCAAATGAAACGATCTTCCTGATCAAAAGCCAAGTTGGCCATATGGTCAGCAATAGAATTAGCTTCCCTGTAAACATGAAGAATTTGAACTTGCCAATCTTGATGAAGAAGCATTCGAACCCGAGATATGAGATCCCCATTATGAATAGACATCAAAGAATTTGAGTTGAAAATCAAAGCGACAGCTGAGTTGTCAACTTGGACCTAAACTTTGCGCCACCCGCTCTTCCAAGCTTCCTGCAAACCAGTGTAAATACCCCAAAGTTCCGCTCTAAAAGCGTTACAATGGCCAAGCTTGATCGAAAATCCTCCCAACCAAATCCCATTCTGACTGCGAAAGACGCCTCCTGCTGTAGCTGAAAGAGAATTTCTACGAAAAGCTCCGTCAGTATTCTGAACTACAAAACCATCTGGCGGTCTAGTCCAACTGATAAGGGCCTCTCTGCGCACTGCATTCACCTCCCCAACTGTAGCAAGAGCATCAAAAGCCGCCACACAAGCATGAACTGCATGGAGGATGATGTTAGGCTTCGAGGAACCATCTACCCGAGAGTTGTTAAAAACCAATTTGTTCCGCCATGTCCAAATGTACCAACAGGTAAACCCAAAGAGCATCCTCCAATCAAGATTTTCCCAGGCTGTAGAACCATTCCGCAAGTTACCGACCATCCAATCGTTAAAGTTCAAATCAAAGAACCTGGCATTATCCGAGAGGGGTAGGAGCTTCAACCATAAGGCCTTGGCTATCAAGCAATCCCGTAACACATGAGAGATGGTTTCCACGCCATTGTGACAAACAGGGCAGCTTGGGTCATCTGTTAAATGCCGTCTATTGCGATCATAATTCGTAAGAAGTTTATTGTGCATGCAAAGCCAAAGAAATGCCCGAATCCGCTGAGGGCCTTGCCACTGCCAGACCAGATCCTAATAACCATGGCCATTGCTAAATCCCAGGTCCAAAAGAGCCAAATAAGCCAAAGCCAAAGAAAATTGGCCATTGCCAGCAAGATTCCAGATTCGGATATCATCCTCCAACTCATCTCTAGGAAGACAACACAAATTTAGATTGTCCAAAACCTCATCTGGTAAAAAATCTGACAAAAGTCTAAAATCCCAGGTATCCCCACTCAAAACATCTTTAACGTGCCACTCATGAGAACTACTTGGTATAGGCTGTGTAATTTGGTTGATCAAAGGTTTCGTGCCTAACCAATTATCAAACCAAAAGGACACACGCCTACCATTACCAATACTCCAGCTAGAATTTCCCGAAATAAAAGGCCACATACGACGCCAAATAGAAGAACATTGAGAACGAAATCTGGAAGGGAAATAATCAACATTGTTCGAACCGTATTTCCCTCTCAGGACACGCACCCAAAGAGCTTGATGTTCAGTAACAAATCTCCAAGTTAATTTGGCTAGGAATGCTTGATTTAGCACCCTTAAATTCTTCAAGCCTAACCCCCCACTCTCCTTAGGCCGGCACACCGTATCCCAACAAACCAAATGCATAGTTCTCTCATTACCATCAGCTCCCCAAATAAAATTTCTGCACATAATATTAATTTTGTCACATACAGTAACTGGAATGACCGCCACTTGCATAACATAAGCCGGAAGAGCCATGAGGACAGAATTAACCAGAGTAACTCTACCCGCAAAGGAGAGAGTTCTAGCCTTCCAAGAACTGAGTTTTTTCCACACTTTCTCCTCTAAGTAAGTATAATATTTACGCCCATTGCGACCATGTAGAACCGGTATCCCCAGATATAAACCCAAATCATCAGAAAAATTAAAACCGAAAATCTTCTTGATATCCTCAATTGTGTGCCTGTTAACGTTTTTCGAAACACAGAAAGAGGTTTTGGAACTGTTAATCTTCATCCCGGAACAATCACAAAACTCTTGTAAAACCCCCAAAGTTTTATCAATCTGTTCCTCCACCGCTTCTACAAAAATAATAAGATCATCTGCGAAGAAAAGATGGGTTAGCGGGCATCCTTGTCTTCCCAGTTTTATAGGCTTCCAAACACCATTCTCCACCGCTTGCTTAATGCCCTGAGTAAGTTTTTCCATACAAAGAACAAAAATGTAAGGAGACAAAGGATCTCCCTGACGAACTCCTTTCTAAGGTTTGAAGCTATCAGATGACTGATTGTTAAAAAAGATTTTTGTCGAGCTAGTTTCCCAACATTTAAATAAAATCGAAATGAGAGCATGAGGGAAACCTATGTCAATCAAAGTATCGTTAATAAAGCTCCATCTGAGTCTATCATAGGCTTTTTCGAAGTCTATTTTGATCATGACCCAACCCTTCTTTCCTTGCTTTGTGCACATAGAATGGGCTACCTCTTGCACAACAACAACATTGTCAGTAATTTGCCTGCCAGGATGAAACTAGCTTGCGTATTATCCACCAGAAAACTTAAAGCAGGGTTTGATCCTGTTTGTAACTACCTTCATAAGAATTTTATAGACCACAGGGAGGAGAGTAATAGGTCTGAAATCTGCAAAAGAAATTGGGCTCCTCTTCTTCGAAATCAAAGTAATAACTCCCCTGCACAAATCCTCATCAATATATTTCCCATCAAAACAGTCTTGCACGAAACTGATAACTGAATTCCAGCACTTCTGAAAGAAAGCCACAACAAGGCCATCATGCCCAGGGGCTTTGAATGGCTTCATTTCAAAAAGAGCTCTTTTGACCTCCTCATCTTCTACCCAACATAATAAAGAATCCAAGAAGTTAGGAGAAAGAGACGGAAATTTACCCGAAATCGGATAATTAGGAGCTATGCTATTATCTTCAGAATAAAGAGCACTATAAAAACTGACCGCCTGCCGACATAATCTAGTTTGATCTGAGCACCATGAGCCATCAGTAAGTTGCAATCGATCAATTCTGGTTTTTCGCTTGCTAATCTTATGCTTGGCATGAAAATAAGAAGTATTACGATCTCCCGCAGTGATCCAATCCGATCTTGACTTCTATCTCCAAAATAATTCTTCCTGATTAAGAATGGTCTCGTATTCATGCCTTAAATCCCTTTCCAATTTACGAAGGAAGTTTGAAGTCCGCACACCAAGAGCTTTTTCCACTCCTTTAAGGCGAGCTATGACTTTTTCTTTCTATAGAAAAGGTTCCCAAAGACCTCTCTGTTCCACACCTTAACTCTATCGGTAAACAGTCTCATATCAGACAGAATATTATTCGAATTAGCCCAAGCATTATTGACAAAATCTTTGAAATTTGAGTGCATGATCCAAGGAGCTAAGAAGCGAAAAGGAACCTGACTTGGACTACCGTTGGAACGATTGAGTGACAAAAGGAGAGGCCTATGATCTGATGCAATACGAGGCGAGTGCTGGACAATCGCATCAGGAAACTGAGTACGCCAATCCATGTTACACAAACCACGATCTAATCTCTCCTTCACCAGACCCCTCTGCCAAGTTGCCATGGGGCCCTGAAAACCCAAATCAAGCAAGCAACAAGTATTAACACAGTGTTGAAACAACTTACATGGACGACTACCTCTTACCGATCCTCCAACTTTTTCATATGAAAACAAAAAAGAATTAAAGTCCCCCATCAAGCACCATGGTTCAACAACTGTACTAGCAAAGGACGACACATATTGCCAAAAAAATCTTCTTAAAGAAGCAGGCGGGTCTGCATAAACGGCTGAGAAAGTAAAGGGAACGCTCCCACGGAAGTTAATTCTCATATTCACAATCTGGTAATTGAAAGACAAAATATCCAGGGAAACATCATTCTTCCACAAAACCCAAATACCTCCAGCAAAGCCATCCGCCTCGACTCTAAAGGAATTGCAAAAACCAATATTTTTAATAACCCTGTCAGCCGCAAGACCACTGATTCTTGTTTCAAGGAGAATGATACAGGATACATTATAACTTCTGATCAAATCTTTAATAAACCCAGACGCTGCACTTGAACCAGCACCTTGACAATTCCACACCAATATTTTATCCATCGTAACAAAAGATCAAGAAAAAAGGAAAGGCACTAACCAAAGCCTTTAACAGGCAAAAGTAGAATTCTCCTTGTCTGTCGATCCTCCATGAAGAGGCCCATCAGAGGTTGAAAGAAGAGAAGCATTCCCCTCTTGGCAAAACTCTTTCTCCAAATACTTCTTAGATAACGATCGTAAGGAGACACTAGAAGTATTTTTTTATTTTTTTATTTTACTGTCAGGCGGTCGTCCTCCATTGAACTGACTTATAGTCATTTTTCCTCCTCTAATCACCATTTTGTCGCGGATTGAACCTGTGTGAGATTGACCCGAACGTTGATATGGTCTGGAAGCTCGAACTGCAACATGCGTTGAATTATCCAGAATATTAGACACAAGGTTGTCAGCCTTGACAGCCTCGACCAGATGCATTAGTTCCTGCTGAGAATGACTAGTCTCCTTATTCCCCCAATTTAGACATATGTTTCCCTGCTTCCCTTCCAGTATGACGTCATTATCCGTCGAAAACTGAGTGACAGAGCTTGCCGGTTGCTTATCTTTTGCAAAAACGACTTCGTTCAACTCATTTTCATGTCGCTGGCTATCTGAACTTTCAAGCAAAGGGCGATCGTGGTCATCAACATCTCGTTCTAAATTTTTCTTTTTAGCATTATCCTTTTTTCTAGCATTCGTTCTTGCATTACGTGGCTGCCCCACAGATGGTTTATTCGGCTCTTGAGAGGTCCCTTCCCTTGTTGAGAAATTAAAATCCTTTACTTCATTAAAAAGGGGATTTTCCACAGCCTCGATATTCTCCAACTCTTCTTCTAGAATAGCAAATCTGGATTGGCTTCTTCCTCTTTCTTTATCAGATAGTCTATCACCACTGATCATTTCCTTTTCCCCACATGACTTCTCCAATGTTTTATTCTTACCATTAAATTGCTTGTGCCGTCGTTGAACCAGCATCCAGGGACCAAAAGCATTTTCTGCTGAAGGTCCATCCTCTTCTTCCGTTTCACGTTTACGCTGTAATAGGATTCCTTCTTCTAGCTTATCTCTATCTGGATCCATTTTCTCATCTCTTTGATTACACTGTTTATTGCATTGTTTATCCAAATGCCCAACATATCCACATTTGAAACAAATTTGGGGTAGACCCTCGTATTTAATATGTTGCATCCTTCCCTTAAATTCAAAAAAAGGTTTCAGAGGTTTGGTTAGATACAATTCCACGGCGAGTCTAGCGAATTTGCCCCTTTTCGGAGGATTCCGTTTTGTAATCAATCTTAACTAACCTTCCCAATTTGTTACCAATGGCTCACAGGATCTTTTTATGATAAAGACGAATCGGGAGACCCGGAATTCGAACCCACGAAACTACTTTTGTAATTCTATCTGCCTTCGTTGAGAAATCAGAATGCCATGGTTGAACTATTAGATATCGTCCCATCGCCATCCAAGGGCCATCTAATAGGACATGTGTATAATCATCTTCATTTTCAAACTGTACGATGTAGAAATTTCGTTCTAAATCAATCACCTTGTATCCACCAACAGGTTTCCATAAAAGATCATTTTTTTCACAAAGCCTCTCAGGTGATAGTCCATCCCAATAATCTAACAACCACTGCCCGTTTCCATGGCTTCACTAATTTGGATTCAAGAGATTCTGAGATATTCATTACGAATGAGAATTCTTTGTCCTCAAAAACTATATCTTGATTCAATTCCATACCTTCTCCAGTTTCACCCCCAATCTCTTCTTCATCCGAGAAAACCTCAGGCATGACCATATCATTCTCATCATCATTACAGTGAGTATTGGTGTTTCTATTAGCAGATCTGGAGAGAGCCTCCTTGTACGAAAATTCCAGACCCTCCAGTTAAAATTTCATTGTAAGCCCTTGTTTGTTTCTCATTCTCTTAACAAGAAAATGCATTTTTTGACCCTTTTTTTTTAAAAATAGGTGGGTCCCAGACAAAGACAAAATTGTCCAAAATTGCACCTAATGAACTGTTGCAAAGGTACAAAATTACATTTTTATGGGAAACAAACAGGGGCTAAGTTGATCCTTTTTTTACTAATAAATATTGAATCTTTGGAATCTCATTCAAGATGATTATGCGCGAATCAACGAGTTTGATCGTGCATTTCATCTTTATTCACGCTCAGTGCTTATAAGTTGGTATTAGAGTGAATTTGTGCACGTGATATATGGCTTCTAGACATCGGAGTCCGACTGGGAAACACAACTATAGGAGATCGAGCATGAGAAGATGACACACTTGCTCGTGCAGTAATCTGCTGCATTTTGAAATTCTTCTCTTTGTTCATTTCTCTCAATGAAAAAATCTCCACCCCTTTTGATCCTGAAAAGTGCGATGAGTTATATGATGATGACACCCATGATGGACCATCTATCTTTGACGAAGAGATTGAAATCTTTTTCGATTTGGATGGTGGTAGATACATCGGTGCACATATTTCTAATGAACAGGGGCGGACCCAGGAAATTAATCCAGTGCGGGCGGTATTAGTAAAAATTTAAAAAAATATATGAAAATATGATGTAAGTTGCAGTTGATGTTGAAAGTCCAAGAATCTCATTCTCTTAGTAATGAAGGTCTCGACTCCGTGGACCAGAAGGTTGAGGATTTGAGCAATTATGGCTTGATCGGGGAACCCAATTATGATTACATAGAGGTGCTCACTATTACTAAGGCTATTAAACTTCAATAATGCCATCCAAAAATCCAATTAAAATCTCAAGTTAAAGTCAACCTTTAATTTTAATCACAATTTATGAGACCCACAACTTTTCAACCATCAACTTTTACAAAATTTACTAAAAATCCGATTTTAATCTCTATCAAACAGGGGCTTAGTTTGACATCAACCATGTTTCCAAAAAATTGCAAGTAAAGGGTTTTGTTTTTTTTTTTAACTGTCCAATGGTTTACTGTCACGTAGCACAATATAAATAACGATGTAAAAGATGATCTACATATAACGTGGTTGATTAAACTTTATGACAAGGTTTGGTAAAAATCTAGTGATGGCAGCATATGTTGGGAAACGTCTGCCTACTAAATCTCAATAGTCACAGAAAAAAATAGGGTAAAAATGGCAATTTAGAAAGTAGAGAATGGGCCTTTTTGGCCCAGTTTTGAATCGATTGGTGTGCAGTTTACATCTAATGGATTAGACATGGTTCGTAATTACAAGGACTTATGGGTCGGAAAATGTACAGCACAGTATGTCGGAGAATATCTTGCACTTTCTAGTGCTGAATTTGGTGACATACGCGAGTTACTAGTAACAAGAGGCATTTTAGATGCCGCAACATCAATTACACTTCTAACAACCCGTCTATATTAAGAATGTAGTTGTACTATGTTATCAACTGATGTAGTGACGAAAGCGTAACAAACCAAGAACACCAATTCAAAACCCCTTAATTCAGGTAGAATATTGGAAATTGACAATCAAGATTCAATTGTTCCAATTCAAAACCCCTTGATTCAGGTAGAATATTGGAAATTGACAATCAAGATTCAATTGTTTGCGAATGAATACCTAGAATTGATTTCATGAACAAACTCACTGACTCAAAAGTAATCAATATTGAAAATCGATCGCAGAAAGTTGGAATCCTCCAAACAATATATCAAATTTTACTCATTACCAGAAGCTACCTAATTTAAAACCCCGAACCAGGTTTTGGGGCGAAAACTTCTGCCGAGTTTCTGGCGGCCTCCATATCTTTATTCTGGCAGCCTAAACCTCAAGTCGAGTTTCGCCTATTTTAACCTCCCAAAACCACTTTCACCCCATTNTTCTGGCAGCCTAAACCTCAAGTCGAGTTTCGCCTATTTTAACCTCCCAAAACCACTTTCACCCCATTTAGGAGTCGTTGGCCTATTTTATGAAAGTCCACATATTGACCATAATAGAAGAGCGCGAAAAATTAGCCTCTACAAATATCTAGGACCATTTTTTTTTTAAAGTTAAAACACCATAAAGGCTTAGGAGAAACTTTTAGACCTCCACCTATTTCGGGTTTAGCAACCCTCTACTGCGTCTATTAAAATAACCAAGAAATAGAAGGGGACGTAGCGCCTTACCTCATTACTTATAAGAGTCTCTGAAACGTGGGACTTAACATAGAACATGCTAACTCAATTACTAAACCGAGTCTATGACACATACTGATTGCAAAAATATAAACTAAAACTTTTGTAGCTAACATGAGAAACCTGCAGGCTATCCACTCCCAAAAGACCAGCAAGTTAGCCTAGAAATTCTCCTGGGATGAGTACTTGAAGATGCTCCATTGCTGCCCCTCATCTGCCGAAAAATCTGCCACTGCGCATTTCCTTTTTCTGTAAATATGAGAACCACATTGCTGAAAAAGATTCCCACCTTGTTTGATATCCCACCCTACACAACACTGTAATGACATGATACAATATTTTAGCTTCTTTTTTGTTTTTTTCCTGTAAGGGTGGTGATACGACATAGAATTGAGTCTAGACCATAAATGAACCAATCATGTACACTTACATTTCATTTAAGACACGGGATTTATTGCAGGTGAACCTAAACCATGAAAATTGATCGACAAAATTTTTTAATCCAAATTTATAATGAGCAGAGTCTAGAAAGCTGAAAGTTTGGACAGAAGACTACTTGGCTGGTTATAGATTCTGATGATAAACACTCTACTTATTTCCTTTATAAACAGTTAAAATTTTCTTCATAACACCAGACCAACTGCTTGGTGAGCAGAAAATTTTCACCCTAAATGATAGGAGAGGCTACCTACATTCCAGGAAGGCTCCATTCATCTGGACTGAGACTTCTAGGTATGTTATAGATAGCCCCTCGGGGCAATTTTCCAGCAAAAAAAAAGACCTTGCTGTCAAGTAACCCGAAGAACGATTCTTTCTAGTCTAAATGGTTTCTTATATTTTGATTAATGCAACATATAAATTTCCACATTCTCCCCCGTCATATCTTCAGAGAATATAATGCAATCAAAATGACCATTTCTAAAAAAGAAATGCAACAAAAATGGAAAGTTTACAAGAAATTAAATAAACGCAAAATGGATTTATCATTATAGAGGGGAAAAAAGGGAAATCAGCAGGAATTGACTTGAAGGGCAAGGATACAATTAAAGCAACGGGCCCATTTGACTGAAACAAACAACTTTACATTTATTTTTATTTTTTTTTCATTATAAGGCAATTGGGAAGTCTTAAGGTGTACGACGCCTCTTGAAATTCCTTTTTTGTTTTAATCCAAAGTAGTCAACCGTAAAAAAGCTCTATAAGTGCGTGCATGTGACAAGATGCAGAAGGATCCTTAGGCCAAAAGGTCCGAATCATACAGGTAGTGCCCAAAAAGGTAAAAAATTCAACATTCCTTCAAGCACTGCTGCTTCCGGTTTTGACAAAAAGACAGGATTGTGGACAAACTTTGGATTTGGGTATGTGTTCAAGAAAGTGAGAACCCTCTTTATGAGCCTTAATAAGATATCCCCAATTCATGTCATATAATCGCGTCATGGATGTTGCGCAAACTTTTTATTTCTATTCACTAATGTAACAAATTTATTTGGGCAACCTGAGTAAATTAACTTACAGGTTGAAAAAGTTAACGTGTAGCTTTCTCTTTCTCCATATGGTAGCAAATTTTACGCTCCTTCCACAAATCTTTCTCAATATGTGTCTCATAAAAGCTCGCATCCCCACTTGTTTTCAAGACTACCGCAGACGTGCTCCTTGTGCCATAACGTCCCTACACATTTGGAATAAAAACATAGTTATGTTTCTAAGAGAAGGAGAATAACGTATGCAGTAAAGCCCCCAACAAGATATAGATGGAATGATAAATTCAGATTACCAAAGATGTATCTGCCTCAACAAATATGGAACCCAACTGACATTCAAACTCAGGAGGAAAAATGTGAGGCAGCTTTATTTCGTCATCCTTGGTAGTGTCCCTCATTAGATTTGCAGTCATCTCTTCAATAGAAATTTCAGCTTCACCAAATTTATCCAACATATCCTTGAAACTATGCCTCAACCTTTGAGCCTGCTAGACAAGAATTCAGTGCAATCAGAAAGATGTCACTGCTGGTGATTGGAGATATGCCTTATCTGCATGATGGAAGGGCTGTTGATATAATTCAACCCATTAACATTACTGTACTATATCTGTAAATGTGCACTACAGCCCAGATAACCCCACCCCAAACCCGATCCCATGAACCAAAATAAATCCAAAGCACAATTACAAGGACAAGAGAAGGGAAATAGGTTGCAGAGGAAACTTGAAATATTGAAAAATGTGTAATGCAGAAAATTCAAGTCCTCCATTCTGCAGTAATTGGCTGACACTGCAAACTTTTGAAAGGTAACAGTGCATTTACCTGAGGTACAATTTCAACCCTTGCATGGTAGATGGCCTCTCAAACTCGGTCCTTATGGATTAGACTTGTTTAATAGATTATTTGTCTTCCCTATGACAGCAGATGATTATTTATATATCCTTGATTATTCCGATATTTATTTATATCGCAATTCCATAAAGAGAAAGGATACGAAATTGCAACCAGATAAATGGCAAACTACTTTCAAATCTTCCATAATGAATTGGTAAGCAACCAAAACCCACCTTTAGTCTAAACTAATTTCATCCATGAATAGTAAACGAGGATGATGTGTTACATTTTCTGAAAAGCACCATCCAGTGGGCTCTTCAACACCATTTCTCACTCTTATGAGGAACTGTAGCCATATCATCCAATAGAAATTGAAAATTCAGAGAAATAAGGAGTACAAAAGGAAAAACAGAGGCTGCATTTGGCAGAACACAAATGCGGCCTCATAATAGAAGTGTACATAAATCATTTGAACCATTTCTAATACAATTCTATGGCCAAATTCCATGCTTCCAAAAGTAGGGTGAGAACCTCCACCGTTCATCACATAGGAAATATACAGCTCCATTACATATAAATAATTTAAAAATGAAGCTCCTCATCCAGCATTCACAGTATCAAATGTAAATGAAGTACCATCAATGTTAGCACGATGGATATCCTCACCTTGGGCCATGGAGTGTCTAGCATTGCATTTGATAAAACATGAATACCAGGAGAAACTTCTATTACTGATAGGCCATTGTCCTTTGTTCTGTTGGTTATATACAACATGGTCATAGAGCAAAGATCAGCTACTATCAAGTTGAACCCATGGTACTGGTCTGCTTCTCCCTTGAGTTCCTCCGCAAATTCTTTAGGACTATTTTTGCTCTATAATATGATCAACACAACATTTATTCATAATCTAAGAATAAAATCAAAATTAAACTTTCATCTTGCAATCAAAGATTTGACCAAAAGAAAAGAAAAACAGCAAAACAGGAGCTGGGACAATATAAAAACATGAACGCAACTACTCGTGTTCCATGTTAAAGCATTCGTGACCAAAATTTGCAACTAAAAATCATGCCACGGGAAGGGAGAAAGTAAAAATGACCTTTAAGAACCGAACAGAGAGGTCTCCTCTGCTCTTGCCCTTGAAATTTGGTTTGATTTCCCTCACATTCGTAACGAATGCAAGCCTTCCGTTCCTCGTGCAAGCCAGCCAGGTCCCACCGGCTACCCCATCTCTTCCCCCAAGTATTTCACCATCTTCCCACCATCCCAGTGGCGAAGTCGGCCTATGAATGATATATATACGCACGGGAAAGAATAAGTATGTAAACATCGATAGCTCAAATTACTTCGAATTTTTCAATTTCTATCCATATTTAGTGCTAATCTGAATTAAGTTTTTATTGATTTCATGAAACGAGAACTAAAATCGTATGTACGTACCGGGAGAGATATTCGTCTCTGTTGAGCAATAGAAGGAACGGATAGACTGGGTGAGAATCCCAAATGAACACCGCTATACACATGTTTCTTGGTTCATGAAATCTCCAGGTAGCGATTCATCAAAATCACTGTGAGCGTGAGAGTAACGTGAATCGCCGCGTTCTTTCGTCCTTTTCCTACCGAATCTTGGTCGCTTACAGCAACCGAATCTTGTCTATGATCTACAGCGTTCGTTTTATCTTATATGTTATAGAGAAATTAGGGTCGGGCCCCCAAACCCTTTACGCTGCGTGATAATGGGACCTAACTTTTAAAGGAAAAATTTTGAGTCCTCAACCTATTTAAATATGTGAATTATCAATCGGGATTTCTAGATGATAAGTGTAGTTTCTACACTTATTCGAGGCCCTAAGTCATGATATTTTATTATCTTTTTGATAAAATTCTACCTAATTTATGTTATATTGTATTTTGTAGATAAAACTTTATGTTTAATGAAAAATTGAAAAAAAGAATGCAAAAGTGGCGAAATATGAAAAAATTCAAAGATGAAATCTTAGAGATAAATAATACAGTAAATAGGTTGGAGTTAAATGGCCTCAATGGTCTTGTATTGGAAATTTTAAGTATATATATAGGGGGAGGGAGAGAGAGAGAGAGAGAAGAAAATGACAACTACGAGGAAAAATCGAGAAGAAAACTGCGGCAAGAAAGAAAGAAAGAAAGAAGAGGAAAAAAAAACAGAGAAGAAAGAAGTGAGAAGTCAAACATTGAGGCTACACACACGTACAGAGAAAGTTGAGAAAGAAAGAGAGAGGCGGAAAAGGAATTGGAGAAGAAAAGTAAAAAACAGGGGCTGCAAAAAGGGGGTTAAATATCAATGTTCTAAAACGCACCGCCTAGGTGCGGTGCGCGTTGAAAACGTGCCGAATTTGTGCTATGCACGTAAAAATGTGGTCAAAATTTTTGTTGACCGGCGCGCGTAGGCGCGAGAAGGTGCGATTAAACGCGTTCAAACTGGATGAAACCCGCGTTAGCAAACGCAAATTGGGCTTTGTTTTTTTTTTTTTTACATTGGGCTGGCCCGTTTAATTTATCCCTTTGTCTGGCCCAGTCCTTAATAGTCAATAGATAACATTATTAACAAATAACAATTTAACATACAACTCGTCTCTCCCATCTCCCAAATTGAAATCAAATCAATCCCTAATTTCCCATTC